CCCCACTACGGCACAATGACATTGTGCCGCAGTCGCCAGAGCCCGCCCCTCCTCTGCTGCCGTATGCTGCGGCCAGGGGAGGCCGCCGGCCCCGACGGCAGTCAAAGGGCACTTGTCCTGCAGCAGCTCGAAGTCTACCATGTGGTCGACCCCGATCGCGTCCTGGAGTTCGGGGGAAGGGAAGGAAGGGGAGGCCCAGAAAAAGCCAAACACCTCCTCCTCCTTCTCCTCCTCCTCCTCCTCCTCCTCCTCCTCCTCTCCTTCCTCCCGCACCCCCACCTCCTCATCGCCTCCTCCACCTGCAGATATCTGAGTGCGGTCTCGGACAATCGTAACTAAACGTGGCCGCCCCAAAACAATTAGCCATCGGCCAGCGAGGACCCCGAACAGCAGGTTATTGCACTGAGTATTGCATGTGAGCTATGTGGTGCAAGCTATGCGGTGCAAACCACTTCGACTGTCTTAAAGATGTCCTCTCCACTGCTCGTGCAAACATCCCACCCTCCCACCCGCAACTTGGTCGCAAGACATCTTCAGACAAGACCGTGACGGTAGGTACTGCGTGACACTTGGCCACGACACCGATGCCGACGACGACAGCGACATCGACGACGACGGCGCCGCCGACAGCGACTGCGACGACACCGACGACGTCTCCAATGTTTTCGACGACGACAACGACGACGACGACACCGACGACGACGACAACGACGCCGACGACGACGACGAAGACGACGACGACGTCGCCAACGGAGACGACGACGAGGGAGGAGAAAAAACGACGACGGCGACAACGACGACAACGACGATGGAGGAGGGAAGACGGCGACGACGCCAACGACGAAGAAGGAGGAAGGACGGCGACGCCGACGACGACAACGACGAGGGAGGAGGGAAGACGACGACGATGACAACGACGACGAAGACGACGACGACGGCGACGAAATAGGAGGGACGACGACGAGACGCCGACGACGGACGACGACGACGAGGGAGGAGGATAACGACGAGGGAGGAGTGAAGACCACGACGACGACGACGACGACGACGGCGACGAAATAGGAGGGACAACGACGAGACGCCGACGAAGACAACGAGGGAGGAAGGACGACCACGGCGACAACGACGACGGAAACGACGACGACGCCAAAGACGACGAGGAAAGACAGAAGACGACGACGGCGACGACGACGACGACGACGACGAGGGAGGAGGGAGGACGACGACGACGACGACGACGCAAGAGCGCGCGCGCACAATTTTGTTGAAAACCCGTGTTGCGAAACCTTGTGTTTTTGTAGGTTTTTTGGACGCACGATTTCGACATTCTTCCGAAACCGAAGGTTTTTGAAGGATTTCGGCATACGCCCGCGACGACGCGCGCGTCTGCACTTCGTCCCATTTTTTGCATAGGATTCTCGCGACGGCACACGCGCAAGAGCGTTCGACAGATTTCGACATGCGCGCGCGCGAAGCCCATTTGGTAGCATTTTGTGAAAATCTTGGAAATCCTATGGTTTTATTAAGATGTCGCAAGAGCTCGCGCGTAAGTTTTTTTGTTTGAATCAGTGTTGCGAAACCATGTGTTTTTATATGTTTTAATTCAAGTTTGAAATCTCTCCGGCACCGAAGGTTTTGTAAGGATTTCGGCATGCGCGCGCCACGACGCGCGCGTGCGCACTTCGTCCCATTTTTTGCAAGGGATTCGTGAAAAAGTGATATGTTAGAACAAAACATGTCACCGCATAGTGTTTTTACAAGGGAACCGCAGGGGGGGGGGACCCGGCTTGGCTGGGATGGTATGAACTCATATTTAGGATGGACATGTGGTCAGAATCATATGTAATTTGCAGCACGCGCGGGGGGGCCGATAAGTCCGGGGGGGGGGGTAGAATCTATTAGTCTTTTAGAAAGGAAAATCTATGTGGTGCAGTGTACATGGTGCAAGCAATGAGGCGGCAACGAAGCGGCAACGGGCGGCATCATGGCGAAACCTCGCTGGACCCACTCAGCGCATGAGGCCGCAACCAGGGGGCAACAGGCGGCAACGAGGCGACAACGTGGCGAAACCTCGCCAGATCAACCCAGCGCACGAGGCGTCTATGAGGCGTCTACGGGCGGCAACATGGCGAAACCTCGCTGGACTCACCCAGCGCACGAGGTGACAATAAGGCGTCAACCGGCGACAACGTGACGAAACCTCTCCAGACCCACCCAGCGCACGAGGCAGCAACGAGGCGGCAACTAACATGACAAAACCTCAACGGACCACCAAGTGCACGAGGCGGTAACGCGGCGGCAACGGGCAGCAACGTGGCGGAAACTGGCCGGACCCACAGAGCGCACGAGGCGGAAGCGAGGCGGCACCGGGGGGGAAAATGGTAAAGCCTCGCTGGACCCTCAGCGCTCAAGGCGGCAACGAGGCGGCAACGAGAACACAACGTGACGAAGTCTAACCGAACCCACCCAGCGCACGAGGCGGCAACGAGACGGCAACGTGGCGAAACCTCGCCGGACCCACCCAGCGCACGAGGCAGCAACAGGGCGGCGGCAACATTGCGAAACCTCGCTGGACCGACCTAGCGCACGAGGCGGCAACGAGGCGGTAATGGGCGGCAGCGTGGCGAAACCTCGCTGGGCCAGGCGGCAACGAGGCGGCAACGTTGCGAAATTTAGCCAGACCCACCCAGCGAACGAGGCGGCAACGAGGCGGAAACGTGGCGAAACTTCACCGGAGCTACGTACCCAGCGCACGATGCAACAACGAGGCGGTTTCGGGCGGCAAGGTGGACAATCCTCGCAGGACACAACCAAGTCCTTTGAGAGAGAATTGAGAACCACGAGTTACCAACCATTTTGGGGGAATCGAATCGGGAATGGCCTCAAGCTTTCAAGTCGGGCTAAGCTAGCCAAGCAACGTGGGCCTCCTCGAGTCTTCATTTGGGGTCCTGACAGCTTCTAGCCTACAGGGAAATGTGGGCTCAGGGACGCAGACACAGACGCACACGCGCGAGTCCGCCAGCCGGCGGGCCGGCAGGCCCCTCAGGGTCGGCGAGGGCGGGCCGGAGCCCAGTTGTGAAGTTCAAGAAGTCGCTCTCGAGGCCTGCCCAGTATCTTACATCGGTAGCACTTTCTAGCCATGGAAGCCGGCGGCGAGCGAGGGGCGGAGTGAAAAGGAGAAGACCTTCTCAGAAGGCAGCCGGACTTCTCGGAAACCCTCGCGCCTTCTGAAAGGCTCCTTATGTCTCTCGGGAAGGCTGAGAACACTGTTCAGAAGGCCGCGGGACTCCGAGAAGGCCCGCCTCTTTTCCCTTCCCCCCCAGACTCGCCGCCAAGGAGCGTTTCCTCCTCCTCCTCCTCCGCCTCCGCCTCCGCCTCCGCCTCCGCCTCCGCCTCCGCCTCCGCCTCCGCCTCCGCCTCCGCCTCCGCCTCCGCCTCCGCCTCTGCCTCCGCCTCCGCCTCCGCCTCCGCCTCCGCCTCCGCCTCCTCCTCCTCCTCCTCCTCCTCCTCCTCCTCCTCCTCCTCCTCCTCCTCCTCCTCCTCCTCCTCCTCCTCTTCCGTAGCCATTTTGGCTCAAGATGCCTAGTTCCACAGTGGAACAAGTGGATACCGCTAGTCCGCGGCCAGTGCCAGGGCTCTTGAGCCCGACAGCTTTGTTCAACCCTCCGTGTGCCTCCTGCAGCCCGCAGGTGAGCTTCCTCTGTTCCTCAGCTCGTCCATGGCGCCTCCGCAGCAGCGCAGCGCCTACGTCAAGTGCTACTCCTGCTCGTACGCCTGGAACTACAAGACCAACCAGACGTGCTACTGGTGCAGCAAAGCCTTGGCGCCGTGGACAGATTCCCCGCCTCCAGTTCAAGGTGCCTGGGCGGCCCGCGCCAAGGCCGCAGCCCAGGCCGACTCCAGCTGCACCCAGCAGCCCAGCCCTGACGGTGGATGGGAACCGTGGGCGTCATGGCCCAAGTCCCGCCGCCGCCGCGGCAATGGCAATGGCAAGAACCAAGAGGACGACTGGTGGGCCAACAAGAACGACACCCCCAAGGCGCGCTCCGCAGAGGACATCCTTGCGGAGCTCCAGGCGATCGCCCCCCACATCGACAAGGCAGCCATCGACGGTATCAAGTCGCAGATTCCGCCGCCCCAGCCGCAGAAGCCAGCCGACCTCAACGACATCTACAGCCGCGCCCAGGCTACGGAGCGCCGCTGCAAGAACAACCTGGAGAGGCTGCTCGAGAGCGAGCAAAAGGCGCTCAGCTGGTACACCGAGCGCAAGGCGGCGTCGGAGGAGGCCGCCTACAAGTTGGCTGAAGCCCAGGCCGAGGCCCAAGCCGCTCTCGATGCACTCCAAGTCGCTCGCAAGGGCGGCACGGCTACTCCCACGACCTCGCAGCAGAACCCAACGTTCAACCTCACCAGCCTCCTCGAGGACGGTGACATATCCATCGAAGCGGGTTCGGCGTTCGATCTCCAAGGCCTTGACATCGACGACAGCGACCGCCAGGCATGGGAATCCCTCCAACAGCGCTTCGCCACGGAGCTCAAGGCCAAGGTCACCGAGCTCTTCGGCAACACCGCCAGCCGCATCAGCCAGCTCCGCGCAGAGGCCAGCACCATGCGCACGCGCTTCGCCTCCAAGCGGCAGCGGTCCGACGAGGACGGTCACGCCCGAGAGGGAGGTGGACCACCGCCCGCCGCCTCGGCGGCAGCAGGCGAACCCCCAGCGGCAGCCGCAGCGGACGCTGATGGCTCTGCGGCCTCTTCGCCAGCGGCGCCAAGCGATGAGCCTCCCGCACCTGCTGCTGGCGCTACTTCTGACGGCAGCTTCGCCGCACAGCCTGTACCAGCGATCAACAAGGACCCCGACCTCGAAGACAAGGCTCAGAAGATGCTCAGCCAGATGCGCAAGCCCACCGCGACCGCCGTGGCTGGAGCCCAGCAGCCTCTTTAGCCGACTACTACCCGACCCTGGACGGGTTGGTGAGACGGGACGCCTACCGTCAGAGACCAAGAGCTACGACAACCCACCGATCATCAACACAATGGACGCAGTCCTCGACCCGTTCGACGAGCTGGCCGAGTTGGACGCCCACATCGTTTTCGCAGCCACAGCGCAGTACGCTACCGCCCCGCCCGAGACGCAGTCCTCGGTTGGGGGCGATGAGGCGGCACAGGCCGTCGACACAGTGACATGGGACCCAGGGCAGCCGCAGCGTGCCGCGCGAGCCGACCCTGATGCCGCTCCGCCCGAGACGCTGTCCTCGGTAGGGAGCGATGAGACGGCTCAAGCTGTCGACAGGCATATGGCACAGGTACCAGGGGAGCCGTTGCCAACGGCACACCCTGATGCCGCCCCGCCCAAGACGCAGTCCTTGGTAGGGGGCGATGAGGTGGCGAAAGCTATCGACTTGACCGCTGCGAAAGGCCCTTGGAAGCCCAGCAGCCCGAGACCCGACCCCAGGCCCGCCTACCAAGACGAAGGCCTTACGAATCCCACGCCGTCAGATCACCCCCTGTTCTTCTCCAACATTACTCAGTGGGGGCCGCAGTCGGAGAAATGGCTGGCAGGGCCAGGCAAACAATATCAGATGGTGGCTTTGGTTGAAACACACATCTCGCATGGTAAAGCCCCTTTCATCTACGACAAGCTAGCAGCGGATGGTTGGAGGACATCATCGACTACAGCCACGCCGACCAGCAGATCCGACGGAGGCAACACGGGTGGCGAGATGATCCTATCCAGGTACCACGTCCAGGCCACAACCTTCAACCACCTCCGCGACCTGGCCATCTCCCAGCGCAGGCCCGACCCGTTCCGCGGCTTCACGCCCATGGTATGGCACAGACGCTCTGGCAACCTGGTTGTTATTGCAGCGCATCTGGAACCCCACAGGCAGATCGAGGGTGCAGTGCACGATAAGTTACTCTCGCTGGGTGCCTTCGTTACTATGCTCACTGACCCGTGGATCATCCTGGCCGATTGGAATATGACACCTGAGCAGCTCGCAGCAACAGAGTGGCCCGCCAAATGGAATGCTACCATCGTGCGAGCGCCTGGATCCGCCACGTGCGACAAGGGCCAGGGACTCACGCTCGACTTCGCATTGGTCAAGACTGGCATCGAGCACACGTTCTCCATTCGCCAATGCCCCACCGTCCCCTGGGCCACCCACGTGGGCCTTGAAGTTCGAGCAGGCAGCGCAGACCCCTTGTGGTATCAGTCGATCCATACCCCTAGGGCATTCCCCATAGTGGACAGACCCAGGATCCCACCACACCCCAACAGCAAGACCGCCATCAAGAAGCGTAAAACAGCAGAAGCTCGAGCAGCACGCCTACGCGATCTACCTCCTGAACTCCAACAAGCAGCACAACTCCAGCCACAAGACGAGCCAGCAGCACAGGAGCCTATCCCGTATGCTATCCCGAGCGACCTCTGGGAGGAACAATGGCAGCAAGCTGTACCCACACGTTGTAAGCAGCCTCACGCGCACTTCGTGTACACCCACTGGGTGCAAGACGCCGACGACCTCAACCTCAAGTACGCCAAATGGGTCACGGCGCTCGAGAACACCATGATCAGCCACCACCAGATCGACCCCAAGGAAGCCGCAACATTCACAGGCCGAGCCCAAGGCTACCAATTGTCTTGGAAGAAGACGACCGCCGCCCCAGGCCGCGTACACGTACATGACCCCCAGTCGGAATGGTGGGCAATCACGCTCACCCTCATCAAGCGCTACGCTGCGCTTCACGACAAGCCCAAGCACGCAGCGCTCATGCAGCAGCAGGCCTCCATCATCCAGCAGCGCGCGGACCACTTCAACACTCACTTCCACGACCTCCAGTTCGACAAGGACGAGGACACCATTTTCCGCTGGTTTGCACTCGTCTGGGCCCCGCACTTGGACAATGAGGACACCGACGACTTGGTCACTATTACCGCTACTTGGGCCTCCAGAGCGCTCTCCGCAGCCCTCGCTAAGTCCAAGAGGGCTTACGGTGCTTGGCTCGCCAAGCAATGGAAACACCGCCCTGGAGTACTACACGCCCATGTCAAGCCTGCGCCCGTACGTCACATCGAGGCCTACACGACCAACCAGACCATTGCCGACCCCACCGTTATCATGGACAGCAAGAAGCAACAATGGCAACAAGTATGGCAGGCCACCGAGACCCCCGATGACATCCTACAGGCGCTGTCAAAGGCCAAGGCAGCAGCCGCTCGCCAACCACTCGAGCCCATCACAGCCAAAATCGTACACCGCTTTCACGGCCGCATGCCACCCAGTAAAGCACATGGAGTTGACGCCCTTGGACCTCGCGACCTCCATCGACTACCAGAACCAGCAGTCGAAGCCTATGCGGATATCCTCAACGCAGTAGAGCATGCAGGCATCTGGCCACTACAAATCCCAGGCACTATTGCAGCCCTCGCAGCCAAGAAGTCTGGAGGCGACAGGGTCCTCGGCATGCTACCTCACATGGCCAGACTCTGGTCTCGCATCAGATCGACTGCATCTACATCCTGGACCCAAGGCCTGGACGACTTCTGGACTACAGCCATCAAAGGCTCCTCAGCTCTCCAGGCCGCCCTACACAGGGCCTTGTTAGACGAGACAGCCTCAGCACTTGGCATACAGTCAGCCACATTGCTATTAGACATCCAGAAGTTCTACGACAATATCAAGCTCGCCAACCTCATTATGGTCGGCCTCAACTGCGGCTTTCCCCCCATCATTCTACTACTGGAAGTACAGCTATACCTGGCGCCCAGATTCTTGCGCAGTCGACAATGGGTGAGTATGCCGATCTTCGCCTCCAAAGGCATAATCGCAGGCTCCCCGCACGGCACGACCTTGGCACGACTCATATTACTTCCTAGTCTACGGCAAGCCCAAGCTCAGGCAGAGCTTGCCCAGATGTGGACCTTCGTAGACGACGCTGTCCTTCGAGTCGAAGGAGTCCTACGCACACTGCAGAAGCACCTCCCCCGTGCCGCCAAGACGCTCTGCGATGGTCTGAAGGAGTTCGAGCTGCCTATCTCTGACAAGACGGCCCCCATCGGCTCCACCCCCAAGGTCCGCAAGTCGCTAGCCAAGAAGTTGCGGCAGTACGACATCCCAGTCACTGCGACCGCCACGGCCGTCGACCTCGGAGTTGACGCGGCTGCGGCTACTCGACGGGTACAAGCCAAAGCCAGGAAGCGACAGAGCCCAGCCGCAGCCAGGTTTCGCAAGATACACCGACTACGGAGCACTGCTCAGCAGGCTCGAATATCAGCAGGACTGTGGCGTACTGGCGCTCTCCCCGAAGGAGTTTTCGGTCATCAGGTGCACGGCCTCGCTCGGCACGCTCTACTACGATGGCGGCGTCAGGCCGCTATTGCGGCCACGGGAGCAGCAGCGGGCCGATGCCTCACCTCCCTCCTCGGCGCCACCTTCGACGGCATGGACCCATGAGTTTCCCTAAGGGCCGAATTCATCGAGGCTTGGCTGCAGCACTGGATACGCCACCCGAGCACGCACGCCAGGATCATCAGAGCATGGCCAAGGATCAAGACCACCTTGCTCGCCGCAGGCCCCAAGCTGTGGCGCAGGGTCAAGGGGCCCACTGGCGCGGCCATCGCGACCCTGCTGGAGGCCAGCTGGGACCCGACCTCAGCTACCACGTGGAGACGCACGAAGGACGGCTACATCGAGGAGTGGAACCCCCCCCCCCTCCCCCCCTGCCGACGACCCTGACCTCCTCGACGCCGACATCCACGCAGTATTGCAGGACCTCAGCGAGGATTTACACAGGCTCCTCTGGACTCAGGCCGCTACGCATGACCATGGTGACACGCTGGCTGGAGGTGCGGACATGGTCACCATCCGCATTGAACAAAGGAGGCTCCTCGCAAACGGTGATTTCAGCGACTGGGCCCTCAACAACACCGTCATCAGTGGTGGACAATGGACCAGAGACCGCCTCCACAACGCGGGCTACCAGATCGACAAGAACTGCGACCGATGCAGCGCAGGAGTTCCTGAAACCTTGTTTCACCGAATGTGGCAGTGCGAGGCGAATGTGGGACCTGAGTTTGAGGCCAGTGACAAGTTACTACCGCGAGCCGTGGCGGGGGCCAATGCTGACCCTGCCCTGTGGCTCCGTGGCATCCCCTCTGTCGCTCTCACTACGCCCGCGTTCGAGCCATTGGCTGGGGGGGACGGGTGGGAGTTTGTTGGTGCGGTGCGGGAGGGGTTGCCGTCGTGGGAAGGAGCTCGTAACGCTGAGGACGAGTTGTTTCTTTTTGGCGACGGGTCTGGCGGCGCCTTTTCCGACGACGTCAGGCGACGCCGTGTTGGTTCTGGCCTCGCGGCCCTCCGATGGGACCCGCCCTCGGCCTCCTGGACCCTCCGCGCGGGCCTCCTCGCCCCCCTCCCAGGCCCCCGCCAGACCGTCCCAAGAGGCGAATTACATGCGTTTTGCCTGGCACTGGAGACGTGCCAGCAAGATTTCACGTTTGTTACTGATCACCTAGCCCTGCAGCGCGGCTGGCAGAATGGCAGATGTCTCAGACCTGGCAGCCTCAGAGGCAAGAATAAGAATGGGGATCTCTGGCTGAGAATTCGGCACCTCGTGCAAGATCGATCTGGCGGCTGCTCTTCTGTCACGGTGCTCTGGACCCCATCTCACGCCGATCCCCTCACGTTGCATGGTTTCCATAAATTTCTGGCTCTCGGCAACCAGCATGCCGACGAGCTCGCGGGAAGCGCGGCCCACAAGTCGGCCACCCTTGCCCTCCCGCCCGTCCCCAGGGCCGATGAATACGACGCTATTGCAGCCATCGTCCGACAGAGGGCACGACTGATTCTACGTTCTTTAGGCAAGAATTCAGAGCCTCGAGGACAGTGGCCAGAGAGGCAATCCAACCAGGAGGCAGCCCCGCGCTCTCAGTTGCAGACCGCGATCGCGGCTTCTCAGCACAAATTCGAGCGGTGTGCAGACAAATGGAGATGCCCTGCCTGCCTCGTCATCGTTGACGCTTGCCACGTTATTCCAGCTGCCGCCACTGAGTGTGTGCCGCCTAGCCCCCTTCCCGAGTTCGCTGCGTGTGGAGAGGTGCTGTGGTCGAGGGGTCCCCGCGTGATCAGTGGCAAGTTGATCCACCCCTCCCACACTTTGGCCACCATCCCCAAGTGGCAATTGTTTTTCTGTGTTAAGTGCGGCCACACGGCCACGCACCAAGTTAAAAGCCTACTTTTGCCGTGCCCTCTCTCCCACCAAGTGGGAGAGCGCAGGGCCCTGGGACCCACTGGCAAAGGCCTCGAGAACCTCAGCAGGATCAGGCGAAGCCTCCACCCGTCCAGATCGGGTCCCAGCAAGTCAGTGCTAGAGGCTTTGCACGTTTCGGCAGCCGAAGCCGCGATCGGTTCCTACGCGGCGGGAGCTGCCTCCGAGTAAATTGTGAGGCCAGGGGGGCCTGTCGCGGTGGGCCGTGGGATGTCGCCCCCCACGGCCCTCCGAGAAATACTGGATGGCCCCCCTGGCATCTCTGGGTTCCGAACGGACTACGTCCGATTGCTCCACTCCACTCCTCCTCCTCCCCCTCCTCCTTCTCCTCCTCCTCCTCCTCCTCCTCCTCCTCCTCCTCCTCCTCCTCCTCCTCCTCCTCCTCCTCCTCCTCCTCCGCCTCCTCCGCCTCCGCCTCCGCCTCCGCCTCCGCCTCCGCCTCCGCCTCCGCCTCCGCCTCCGCCTCCGCCTCCGCCTCCGCCTCCGCCTCCGCCTCTGCCTCCGCCTCCGCCTCCGCCTCCGCCTCCGCCTCCGC